ATGTGTCATGAACTTGTACACTCAGTGCCAAGAAGGGTCAGAGCAGTATACTTTAAGTTCTGGAGGACATACTAAGTGCTAGAATATTATACATTTTCTGAATTAAATCTAGGGTGTACTCATTTCTGCAATCCTTCATTTAAACTAAATTGGCTAATTTACTTATCTTAAAGAAAATATTGGCATATATTTTGTTGTTTTTATTAAGTATAGGTTTCAGTTTTGCCATCTTTCCATGAATTATATTAATTATATTAGTGATCATTAAGAAAATACATATTTTATATTTATTCAGAGGGGGTGTACTCATTTATGCTGTGCACTGTATATACACTTTTGATATGATCAAAAGTAAGAGTATTTTACATTGTTACAAAATAAATGCTATTTTTATCAATTCTGATATTTTGAACTTTCAACTCATCAAAAAAAAAAGTATCAGTTTCTACAAAATATCTTAACATCAACAATCAACACAAAATTCAGCTTTGCATCACAGGAATAAATTACATTCTAAAGTATGCTAAAATACTCCAGTCTTCAGTGTCACATGATCCTTCAGAAATCATTCTAATGGGCACCCCTGTCCGAAGAAAGGCAAGATCTGCCCACGGGCTGAAGGTCTGACGGCAGAACGGGGTGACAGAAACCCGGTAAGTGCCGCTCGCGGCGATTCGTCCTGTAGAAGGCTCGGCTCCGAAGCGAAAAGCTGATGTGCGTTTGCACGCGCTCTCCTTTTATACCCGCGCTGCGGGGCGGGGTGCGCGTGGCGAAACACGCACGCCAACTGTCATTGGCTTGTTTAGTTAACACTCGAAGGTGACTGGGCTCTCGGGCGAGATCCCAATTCGTCAGTCACGACTGACGTAACGTCGAACGTGACTGACTGAAAGGGAACTGTGATACACTACCATTCAAACGTTTAGGGTAAGTATGGAGTAAGTCATACATAAGTAGAAAAAAAAGATAATTGTATTCAGCAAGGGAGCATTAAATTGGTCAAAAGTGACAGTAATCTTTTTTTAGTTGGGGACACTTCATTTCCAGCGATATCGTTGACTTGATTGCAAAGATACTATTTAAACTGAGCTGGATGTTGACATCAAGTGTTTACTATTGTCATTTTGCAGTATTGACACTATTTTCCTAATTAATGCTGTTCAGTTGCTTTGACACAATCTGTATTGTTAAAAGCGCTATATAAATAAAGGTGACTTGACTTGACTTGACAATCTTTTTAACTTTATAAATGTATTTTCTATTTCAAATAAATTGTGTTCTTTTTTAACTTTTTATTAATCATGGATTTAAAAAAAAAACTATTAAGCAATACAAACGTTTTCAGTTTAAACACAACTTGCTATATAAAAAAAATATTCTAATCTATTAAAGCGACTTTTTCTGGTCTGGATATCACGATTTTAAAATTATTTAATATTTCTAGGTTTTATCCTTGAATATGGGAACACTGCATATCAAATCCTGTATAAAATATGTATTATCATATTTCAAATATGTCTGTAAAAAGCCTGGCAATAATTCAGAAAACATGTTTATGTCTGAATGAACGCTGTACACTACACCATAGTGAGATGCATCGAAGACGCATTAGAAATGCACGGCGTGCTTCTAAAATTAGGCTGTCTCTAGCTGCATGCAGCACAGGCCAGATCAACCACTAACAAAACAGAAACAATAGACAGGGCCTCAGTGGACTCTCATCATCACCTCAGATCTGAAGACACAGAGCGGTTTCCCAGGGCAACAGTCCTCCTTTACTTTGTCATCCGCTTCAGAGGCGAAAACAACGTCTATCTGATCCAACTGATGGAGGAGACAGTGAGGGAAGGAGGGTCAGAGAAAGAATGACACCAGTTATCATTTAGCTACTGACTGTAACGACTAGCAATGAGATCAGGCCGAAAGTCAACTAATAATAGTGCTTTCAGCACTGCAGCTTGGTTATTACAAAAGAAAAATGGCTAAAATTCTTGGGATAAAACACAACAACTTTGCAATGCATTTTAGAGTAAAACACAATATTCAAATGGAAATAATGAAAGGACCAGGGACGTTAAGTCATACATAAAGTCAATTTCGATTACATGCTGTCTTTAAGTGTTACGAAAGTGAGGGTCTTTCTTGTTTTCTGTCCTTTGGTTTTGTAGAACAGGGCCCGTATTCACAAAACATCTTAAAGCTAAAAGTAGCTCATAACTCGCCGATTTAGGAGAAAATCTTAAAAATGGGACTCCTAAATTTTTGTTCTAAGAGTGTTTCACAAAACGTTTTAGCGCTAAAATTAGCTACTAAATCTGTAAAACATTAGGAGTAGTGAAGAGGACTCCTAAGTCACTAAGACCAAATCTGAACTATCCTAAAATGGCTGTTGCCAGCAATCTACCTCGGAATATAAACATTTTAGAAACATTTGACGATAATGAGCTTTTAAAAAGGTATCGGCTTTGGTTTGGAGTTTATCCCAACTCCAAATATTTGATTATATATTTAATATATGTTCTCGCGTCCAGTTTGGTTTTCTTTTATGTTTGCATGTCTTACTATCAGCCATGATTATTCTACTCTGCTAATTAAAAGGCTGTTTATATGCATATTACCAAAATTTTATTAGTCGCAGAAAAAAAAAATCCACATGAAGTGGCGAAATCATGCAGTCCGTGACGGACAAATCGTTAACGGCTGGTCTTTGTGGTAATACAGTACATAGGGCAGGACATCCATATGCTCTCCTAACATTCATCGACCTCAAATATGGCTTATCATCTGAAATATGTATGTAGTAGCAACTTTACATGGCAGCTCAATCTAATGTTAACCTAGAAAGAAGTGCGCAGTTCACGTGTTTGTGCGGAGTGTGGAAGCTGAACAGTAGCGTGCCTGGGCTACTGCAGGACAGATGGAGGCGCCAGTGCGATCATTGGCTCTTAAAATACTTCGTCATTTTTGGTCATACAGATAAGAGTAATGCATCTTTTGTATCTGTAAAGACTCTACGTTTATTCGTGTTCACTCAGAATAACAACGAAACGTTGCGCTTTTGTAAAATAATGAAAGCAAGCAGGATGCGCTTTCTGCCGTCTCGGACTCTGTGAACTTGAGCGCGTCACTTCGAAACTCCGAGTATTCTTGCCTTATTACAGACATGAAAAATATATCTGTAGAGAGTGAAACTTTTAAATGAACCAATTGTAATACGTATGAAACATGCAGGCACATACTGTGGAGACGACGAGACTTCATCTCTTAAACCGAAAACAGAAAGCACTAGTGTAACAATAAATTATTAAAACATTAATGCAGTGTACTTGCTGTTTTTCTTGCGGTGCGCTGTGGCAAGCCTTTTTTGCGTGCACTTGAGTGCTTATTAGGCTATGTAGGCAATTAAAGGCTCATTACGATTTATATTATTTATTAATAAAAGTGCGACTAATAGTCGACTAATGCTTAAAATGAACGACTACTAGTCGACCAGAAAAATATTTAGTCGAGGGCAGCCCTAATGCATATTGACTAATTGTTTACGAGAAGCATAAGAGGCTGACAATTAGCTGAATATATAGCCTACTTGTTTAATTAGTGACACTTAGCCTGCATTTTAAAATCTTTATTTGAATGTGGCAATTAACATTTTTATTTTAAAACCTTTATTTGAATATGGCAACATAATATTGCGCTCTACAATAGAGACAGAGACAGAGACAGAGACTATCAGCCAATCACTGTGTGCATAGTAAGTATGCTGACATCATCCATAGCAACAAGGTCAACCCCGCCCCCTTACTCTTAGCTTAAGACTTCTGTCTATTCCTTAGTAATAGTTTGTCTCAGCAGCTAGGTTTTACAATGAATAGGTTTTAAGAGAAAACTCTTAGCTAAAAACTTTTACTGCTATTTAGGAGAACTCTTAGTGGTAAGATAAAATGTTTTGTGAATATGGGCCCAGAACATTTAGTTTGCTTTTCAAGTAGTTATGTGCTATTACCTCAAGTGAATTAGTCAAATAAACAATGTTCTCCAGTAGGACAGCACGCTCATCAAACTCCAGCTCTAGATCAAGAACCCTGGGCCCGTTTTTCTCTAGGTTGTCCTGGAAACACACAGCAAGACAAAAACAGGACCAATTTTAATGCATACTAATGAAACATTTCATTTTATAATATTGCCAAGCAATTCAACAAACATGCATTTGTTAAAAAAAATTGTTTAAATCGTTTGCATTATTGAAATCATATATATATATATATATATACTCTGGCATGGCACCCAGCTCCATGGCGATGACCTTATTGTCAGGTAGAGCTCCATTGTTGCTCTGGAAATGACAACGGGAAAGAATAGCGTTTTGATTGACAGCCAATCAAAACGTAACTCTCCAAATTCAACAATGGCATTCAGAGAGCCAGAGAAGTGTATCGATCGCTGCTTATCCCTGTACAGCATCATAATTACATATACCTCATTTTCACCTTTAATTGTTTGAGTGAACAACATCTCTAAACATTATGTATAGTGGCCTCTCATCCAATAATCACTTTGTGTTTTGTTACTTTTGAATTTCTGTTTATTTAATTCAGTCACTCTTTATACCCTGTTTTAATACGGGTTTCTATGGAGACCTGAACAGGACAGCAAAGAAACGGAAGTTAGAATCCATCATGCCAGCGCTCATCGGTTACTCGATGAAATAAACATGAAAGAAACATTACAACCTACTGAAATGTATCATGTCAATCATGGAAAGATGTTAATAAAACATCTTGTATGTAATGTCATATAAAATTATATTTAGCTCAGAAAAGCCATTCAATGTTCATAAACTCGTTAGTCAGATTTGCTAAATAAACTCACTGTATATTCATTACATTCTTATAAAGCCATTAGTAATTTCTCATCTGTTGCATGTTTGAATAAAATCTGTCATGAAAACAAGTAATACAGTCACCGTTTAAATGTTTATATTTTAAAAATGAACTGGAGTAGAAACCCAATTTTGTTATTAAAAACAACTGACGGGTAATTTAAATGCTTGTATATAACAGTTTTTTGTGTTGATTTTTCTGTCTAAAAATTAATAGCAATTGAATTTGGACTCTATTGTTAATTTTAACCTTTAATATCACAGCATTGTATCAACTGACAGGTGTATTTTACAGCATTAGTTGAGACGTTGTTGCACTTAAAAAAAATTAAACAAATTAATATCAAATCGAAATTGGAATCAACAAATCGATTCATGACATCCGTGTCAAGCCCTATTAAATATATGAAGATTGTCTCGAATTGCAAACTTTGATATGTAAGATATGATTAGGGTGTTTATACCTTGTAATGTTTGCCCAGCAGAGAGAGGGCGCTGTGTTGCCAGGGGGGGTAGGTCTTTGCTACGTAGATGGTGCAGTGTGTGGGCTTAGCTGGCGGTTTGTGGTCTCCCTTCTGTGATAGACAAAGCAAAACTTAAAGTTAATTACACAATAAGTACAGTAACATTATTAAGTATAATTTTTAATGTCAATAATTTTAAACACTAAGCTGATGTTCTACAAACATTTTTTACCTAAATGGGTTGTGATATATTACTGCATTCATAGAACAATAATAATAATAATTATTATTATTATTATAATTAATAATAATAATGATAATAAAAAAAACAACTTGACTAGACTAAAAAAAGGCAGTGAAACCAGTGAAATAATATATTATTTTATAAAATGTGACCCTGGGCCACAAAACCAGTCATAAGGGTTATTTTTTTGAAGTTGAGATGTATACGTCATCTGAAAGCTGAATAAATAAGCTTTCCATTGATGTATGGTTTGTTAGGATATGACAATATTTGTTCGAGATACAACAATTTGAAAATCTGGAATCTGAAAAAAATCAAAATATTGAGAAAATCGCCTTTAAAGTTGTCCAAATGAAGTTCCTAGCAATGCATATTACTAATCAAAAATTAAGTTTTGATATATTTACAGTAGGAAACTTACAAAATATCTTCATGGAACATGATCTTTACTTAATATCCTAATGATTTTTGGCATAAAAGAAAAATCGATAATTTTGACCCATACAATGTATTTTTGGCTATTGCTACAAATATACCCCAGCGACTTAAGACTGGTTTTGTGCTCCAGGGTCACAAATAAGTTTTCAAAAGTATATTATAAATCTATAAATGTAACTATCCCTATTTTTATATCCAGTTACCACCAGTAGTTTCCTTCAGAGTCTAAACCCCTCTAAAACACATCAGCACAACAACTCCTTATCCAAAGCGACAGCCATTACCACATGGTCCCAACAACAGGACTGTGAAAAGCCTCTCTCCTCAGAGTCTTGACTCAAAACGGTTCCGTAAGGCTCAGTCTGTAGAACCAGACTGTAGGGAAACCGTCCCGTGTTAAAAGCGAGGGATAATGCACTACTCGACTGTCAGGGGAGGTCTGGGACAGCGCTGAACTCACTCTACACGACAGCTGTCGACTTGATTCATTCTTAAAGTCAGTTGTGTTTGGGTGGGGTTGGACTGCATGCTGGACTGCTGAGGTGCGAGATCTCTGTCTAATGTTACAAGTGTTATTATCATTTCAAGTAGAAACTCAGTGGGTAGCAACCATAAAGTAACCTAACTGAAAATCTTCATAATCAAACTTTAATGTTGAGGTAGCAAGGTTGAGGTTTTGAACATCACATTTAACACTAGTTGCTATGCAACCAGGCATCCAATCCAAGAATACAGCCACTGGCCCTTCCTGAGTGCAAAGTTTGGTGATTTTTCACTATAGAGATAAAACTGTTAAGATTGTATATTATTATGATAAATATTATAAATATAGCTGCAAGCAGCAATTACAGGACCAAGTCCAGCAGTGGCAGAAATGCTGCGACTTGCGCACTATTAAAAGAGTCACCAGAAATATGATTTCAGGATAAACGATTCAACAGAAATGGGATGACTTCTCCAATTTTGGCCACTAGGAGGTGCAGTTCCTAAAGTTCTGAGGGACCCTAAAGGCTGCTAGAGACCATGCCGACGGCCAGACCTTCACTTTTTTGTGTGTGCGCTGTACAGGTCTGGTATAAAGAATATTTTTGGTCAGGCAGCCGACATGTCCGCCCAATAGGGAAAATTTTTGCTCAGAAAAAAAAATACAAAATTAGAGGGAACATTGTCCATACCTTTCCCTTGGCTGGCTGTGTGTAAGCTTTCAGGCAAAGGCGGAGGTCATGAGCAGTGTCCATCAGATACTGTGAGGAGCGAATCAAGATCTCATCCACTGGACCGGCAGGAGGCCAGCGAGCCTTCATTATAGAACTGCTCTGTATGGAGAGAAAATAAAGAGAGTGGTAACTGTGCAGCTTAGTTATTCGATTAATTTCTACTGAAATTCAAAATTCAAAAACAAATAAGGGACAATGTATAGTCAGCCGGTAGTTATCAGCTGTTTAAAGCAATATAGTCTTCCAGCATTAAATTTAAAATTTTAAAATCGGATGGACAAAATATAATAACAATGCCAGAATGGATATACCAAGGATGCAATTTTAGTCTAAAAAACAAACGAAACAAAAAAAATTGTAATGTAATTAAAACTAGTCGTTAAGAATATTTTTCTTACTTTAATTCATTGAATGTCAATTCACAATGTTGTCAAAATTATGACATTGTTGCATGATTGTAATTCAGTTTAGGATTTGAGCCTTTGAAACAAACGAATGGAACACCAAGGTGTACCGTATGTGTGGAGAATGCTATTTACTGTAGTCAGGGCCGTTCCTAGGGAGGTGCAACTGGTGCGGTCGCACCGGGCCCCGCGGCGAACGGACCGAGGGGAAACCTCCCCCTCACCCACCCCGGAACACGATCGGACCGAGGGGAGCCCCGCTCCCTACCTCACACCGGGCCCCACGTCAGCTAAGGACGGCCCTGACTATAGTTCCTCAATAGTATGATTGGCTGTGAAATGTTATGGTTTAGGAGTAAGCAGGCAATTCCTTAGTGGATACCTGTCCTTCAGCGTAGAGGGGGTCTCACCTTCCCTAGCAGGGACCAGGTGTGTTCACACAGGTGGGGGCAGATGGGAGCCAGCAGGAGTGTTTGGTTCTCGATAAACTGGAACACAAGATCCCTGTGCATGCCCTCGATAGCCAGCTCCCTGTATTTATCCTTGGCGGCCTTCAAAGAGTCAAGAATTTGTTTATTATACATAACTTCACGCTGAAAAATTCCTGACAAATATCATGGAATGACACATGAAGTCTCTTGAAGTGATGTGAGGTATGTTATTGTTCTTATTAATTAATATTACTAATGTAGATATACTTGCTCCATATGACTCCACCCCATGCTTATTTATTTAACTGTGTATGTGTTACCTGGAATTCAAAGAAGCCACTCTTTAAAGCCTCCTTGTACATCATCCTCTCATAGTGCTGCTCTGTTTTAATGATGCTGGAATCCATTTCACTGCAGACAGACACAGATAATCAGGTGGAAATAAATAAATACAATTAAAATAAAATAAAAACCCTTTTACAGATTCAAATTGTGCCTTAATTTTGCAGTCAAACAGTTAGGAAGGACGGATGGACAGACTGACTATTCTATATGCACACTACTGTTCAAATGTTTGGGTTTGTTAATATTTAAAAAAAAAAAGTTTTTAAAAGAAGCTCACCAAGGCATAATTTGATTAAAAATAAAACAGTATTTTTTTTTAAGAGCTGTTTTCTTTTTTCATTATATTTTAAAATGTAATGTATTCCTGTGATGGAATAACAGTTGAATTTTCAGCATCATTACTCCAGTATTCAGTGTCACATGATCCTTCGGAAATCATTCTCATATGCTGATTTCTTATTTCTTATCAATGTCAAACATTATCAACCATTTCTGATTATTATCAATGTTGAAAACAGTTGCGCTGCTTAATATTTGTTATAGAAACCATGATCCAAGCTTTCAGGATTCTTTGATAAATGGAAAGTTCAAAAGAACAGCATTTATTTGGAACATAAATCTTTTGTAAAATGATAAATGTCTTTACTGTAACTTTTAAATAATTTGTCATTCTGAATAAAAGTATTAATTTCTTTCAGAAATAATACTAATAATCTATTACTTCAACAGTACACTTCTATTATTGTTATAATACCACAATATAATATACAGGTACATCTAAAAAAATTTGAATATCATGAAAAAGGTCAATATTTTTTGTCACTCATTTCAAAAAGTGAAACCCATATATTATATAGATTCATTACACAGAGTGAAATATTTCAAGCCTTTATTTCTTGAAATTTGTAGCCCATGTCTAGGATTCGTCTGTGCGTAGTGGCTCTTGACGTGCTGACGCCAGCCTCAGTCCACTCCTTGTAAAGCTCCCCCAAATTCTTGCTGGTGCACCTTTTCCTACCACACATTTTCCTTCCACTCAACTTTCTATGAATATGCTTGGATACAGCACTCTGTGAACAACCAGCTTCTTTAGCAATTAACTTTTGTGGTGTAGCCTACTGACCCAGACTGAGAGACCATTTAAAGGCTCAGGAAACCTTTGCAGGTGTTTTGAGGTAATTAGCTGATTAGGGTGTGACACCATGACTTTCCAATATTGAACTTTTTCACAATATTCAAATTTTCTGAGACACTGAATTTTGGGTTTTCATTATCTGTAAGCCATAATCATCCAAATTTCAAGAAATAAAGGCTTGACATATTTCACTCTATGTGTAATGAATCTATATAATATATGGGTTTCACTTTCTGAAATGAGTGACAAAAAATATTGACCTTTTTCATGATATTCTAATTTTTTGAGATGTACCTGTATGTTCAAGTCATTGTATGCATTGCATTATTTTATGCATTTTTGAATAACTTGCTTAATTGACCCATAGGCTATTATCCGTCCCCACATTACTGCCTAATTTTGCAGTTTCTTTACATTTCCAAAAGAATCAAAAGAATCGCCAGTTTTCTTTTATCAGCAGTATTAACGATGTGATAATCTATTCAAGATGTTAATAATGTTAATAATGTCAGGGTGTCTGTTTTAAAACGAAAACTTCACAGATTAAATTCACCTGGCACAAGCTTTTACTACAACAGCAAACTTTAGTTTGAAAAAAAAGCGTGCATTTTTTCTCCACTGCAATCCAAAAATATTTTTGATGAGTCACATTTCACCTATTTAGCTTTAGCCCAGGGCTTTTGCTACCGTTCAGCACTGCTCTAACATGCACCCTCTGACATCCTTCAGCGTGTCCTTACGCCGTCTGGGGAATGTGACTCTCTCTCTCCTTCTCATTTCCTTTAGTTAGGCGGAGAAAACAGAGCGGTTGAAATTCAGTATTCCTCCCAGAGAAGAACACAACACTACAGCGTAGCTTTGCTTTACTTTCCCCCTGCACATAGATGAGAGGGGAAACAGCGAGAGGTCAAATTATTTGATCTAAGAGTTCTGAGAGAGTAAGTGAGAGTGAATGGAAGAGACAGCATCTAAATGAGCTTTGTTCTTCCCATATGGCTTTAATTGTGTAGCTGGGAAACAGTAGTTTAGATGATCACATTGTTTGCACATAGTAAATTAATGCTCTGACTCCTCTCCAAAAATAACATTAGAGCTGGCACTGGTCAGCAGCGGAGCCTTCAGGCCCAAAATACAATAATACACACAGGAAGCCTTCTTCACGCTTCAGTGCAAACACATACGATGGCAGGTCAGAGATGAATTAAAACTGTTTTTTGGTTGAATTATTTGCCAGGAACAGTGTAAAATGGAAGTTTGTTTGTGAGAATCTCAAGGTCTCTCTTTCTCTCTCGCTCTGTATATGTTACAGTGGATTTGCTGGCATCAGAATGCAGATCAGATTCAGTTGACGTAAACACCTGTGGAAGTCAATGACAGCTTGTAGAAGGTGGTGTGTGTTAAAGACATATGAAGTAACAATTTTTACACAATTCTCCCTCTTAACCCAGCCTGCTACTGCCAGAAACATGCTTATTTTCCATGGACCCTTTTCACAAGACTGTGATGACGCGTTTAACAGTCATCAGCATCGTAAATCCTCGAAACACTATTCTTTGTATTATATCACCTTTTCATCAAATTACAAAAAACAGTTAACGCTAATGCGAGGGTGTTTCTAATACAGCGTCTATGGGAGGGACGGTAAATTTGACATCGTTCTCTCTTCTGAC